TGGGTCAGATCCATGGTTGTCATGGAAGCCATGAACTCCTGAGCTGCATCTGAGGATTTGCCAAGTGACAGCAAATTGAAGTCCCCCAGTACCATAAGCCTGGGGAACTCCACCACCAGCCCGTCTACTGCCTCTAGCAGCACAGGCAGGGCTGTCATAACACAGCTGGGAGGCAGGTATGTCAACACCAAGCCCAACTGAGCCCTGAGTCCAACCTCAAGAGGAGAGACTCATACCCAACAATCTCAGGGGCAGGGATCCTGCGAGGGCAAAGACTCTTCCGGACAATAGCTGCCACTCCTCCACCCCTTCCCTAGAGTTGTGGCTGATGCAATATCTGGAACCCATCTGGGCACATCTCTGAGAGGGGCACACCCCCCTCCTGGCCCAGCCAGGTCTCAGTTATGCATGCCAGGTCAGTCCCCTCCTCCAGGATTAAGGAAGGTGGGAGTGGGAGGCACCGTGTTACCGTGGCTCTCCTCCTATCTCTCTGGTTGGTCACAGTTGGTGCTGGTAGGAGGACAGAGGTCGACCCCTAGGCCCCTTGTTTGTGGGGTGCCTCAGGGCTCGGTCCTCTCTCCCCTATTTAACATCTACATGAAGCCGCTGGGTGAGATCATCCGACGACACAGGGTGAGGTATCAGCAATACGCGGATGATACCCAGCTGTATATCTCTACCCTACGTCAATTCAGTGATGTGGTGGATGTGATGTGCCGGTGCCTGGAGGCTACGAGGGTCTGGATGGGAGTCAACAGGCTCAGACTTAACCCAGACAAGACCGAGTGGCTGTGGGTATTGCCTCCTAAAGACTATGTTGATTGTCCATCCTTGGTTCTGGGGGGGGAAAGAAATTGTCCCCCTCAGAACCGGCTCGCAATTTGGGTGTCCTCCTAGACTCACAGCTAAGATTAGAGCAACATCTGACAGCTGTGGCTAGGGGGACTTTTGCACAGGTTCACCTGGTGCACCAATTGCAACCCTACTTGGATCAGGAGGCTCTCCTCACAGTCACTCATGCCCTTGTCACCTCACAGTTAGATTATTGCAACGCGCTCTACATGGGGCTACCCTTGAAAAGTGTTCAGAGACTACAGTTGGTCCAGAACACAGCCGCGTGAGCTGTCGTCGGTGCACCTAGATACACCCACATTACACCAATTCTCCGCGAGCTGCACTGGCTCCCTATTGGTCTCCGGTCACAATTCAAGGTTATTACCTTTAAAGCCCTACATGGCTCAGGGCCAGGTTATCTTCGAGACCGCCTTCTGCCACATAGCTCCCAGCGACCAGTAAGATCCCACAGAGTTGGTCTCCACCGGGTCCCGTCAGCTAAACAATGCCAGCTGGTGGGCCCGCGGGGGAGGGCCTTCTCTGTGGCTGCCCCAGCTCTCTGGAACCAGTTACCTCCTGAGGTCCGGACCATCCCCACCCTATTGGACTTCTGAAAAGCGGTGAAGACCTGGCTTTTCCGGCAGGCCTGGGGCCGTTAATCTTGCTCTTGTGATCTGGCAAGATCCAGCCACGAATGGCGTGAATGAGTTTTTAATGTTTTTAATGTTTTTAATTTTTAAATGTTTTTTTTTTATAATGATTTTTTAAAATGTATTGTGAGCCACTCTGAATCTTCGGAGAGGGGCGGCATATAAATTGAATTAATTAAATTAAATTAAATTAAATCAAATCAAATTAAATTAATTAATTAAATTAAATCTTTCTAAATCCATCTTAATTAGTTGAATTTTCCAACTGAAAATAAGGGAGGAAAATTATGAGCTTTATTTAGAAACACTTCTGTGAAGACAACCTAATTTAAACTAACAAGTTTAGAGCCAGAGCTGAAGATGTCACAATACCAGCAGAGTATTTAATTTGTATATAAGCCCTTAAAATATATTAAATATAATTTGCATAATCTTCATCCTTCTTAATGTGTGCATTAAGTCATGACTTACTACATAACTTTTCCCATTGTTTTTACTTTACGTAGCAAAGATTTTTTAAAGCAGGGTTAACATATGGATTGGACTTGATCCCAATATAATTTTCCATTGCAACACTCATTAGCTTATTAAATTAAATTATAATACAGCCTAAAGATGGGGAAAAGTTATTACAATCTATGACTGGGGCAGAATTGATATTTTCTCAATCAGTAATTCTGATAATTTCATTTTAGATTGATAACATTCCAAAGAATATCTGTAGTCTTGCAACACAAGGTTGATCCTAGTATTTTGTTTTTCATAATAAATTCCCGCCATCTAATGAAACTCTAATCTATCAAAGTTGATAGAAGTAACAATTCAACAAAAATAATTGCAGAAATTATGTTTCTATTCTCATAATAATTATGTTTCCTAGGAAGATTTCAGCATTAAAATTATAAGGGAATTTTTAAAAGAACATTAGTACTCATAAAATAAAAGTGATACATTTAGATTTTTCAGATGTGGTACAGAACAAATTATGGTGTACTATTGGTATATGACAGCAGAAAAATTATCTAGAATGCATAAAGGTACTTCAAATCTATATTGGAATGTGGACAAGAGGAAGGGTCATTTTATCTTGCTTGATAGATGTGCAAAATTTTCTAACTTTCTTTTGGTTTTGATCTTTTTATTCATACACAAAATTCAGGTAATTTCCTAGCCAATTGTGATTCTAAAAATAAAAGGCCTGGAGGAGCAATAGTAGAATGGAAATGAAAGGGCACTTTCCTCTGGATGCTCCTAATAGTTTAGTAAAGATCTGGTTTTTTATTCCTATTCAATTTAGTGTAGAACATTCATAAGAGAAATCTCATGACTGCCCATTAGAAATAACTATGAAATAGCTATGTACATCTCCAGCAGGTGATGCCTCCTCTCAGAATGGGAATTTCTGAATGAGTTTTAATCAAAGGAGCCCTCTAAGGAAACACTGATTCTTCCTTTATTTTGATATAATTTGGCAAAAGTACATAAGCCCCCCTGATCTTTTTCTTGCCTTTCTCACTCCCAGTCCTTGCTTACATTTTACAAGGAAAAACTGGTTCTAGATTTTCTCAGGTTGTCAGAAAAAGAAAAAAAAAAAAAGGAAAAAAATGATAGAAGGGTGTAATTTGGAAAGAATATGACATTCCCTTAGATTAGAATGGTGAGCTTTGCAAATATTTACAAAATATTAGATATTCACACCTGTGTTTTTAATCCATGGCCCTCCTGGCTTGTGAAAGCTTCCCGGGAAGTAACATGCGGGTGGGTTCTAGTGATGATTAATGTTTCCCTGTGGGAGAGGATGGTGCCCCAACATTTTAAGGAGGCCATGGCCTATCTCTTCTTAAGAAGCCATCACTAGACTCCATCCTATTGGATAATGTTTATCCTGTCTCCAATTTTTCCTTTCTGAGGAATGTTGTTGAGAAGTGGTTGTATGGCAGGTCCTGAGGTTTCTGGATGAAATGGATTATCTAGACCCTTTCCAGTCAGGGTTCAAGCCTGGATATGGGATGGAAACAGAGCCACTGTGGCACAGTGGTTAGAACGCAGTACTGCAGGCTACGTCTGCTGACTGCCGGCTGCCTGCATTCTGGCAGTTCGAGTCTCACTGGCTCAAGGTTGACTCAGCCTTCCATCCTTCCAAGGTCGGTAAAATGAGGACCCAGATTGTTGGGGGCAATATGCTGACTCTGTAAACCACTTAGAAAGGGCTGTAAAGCACTGTGGAGCGGTATATAAGTCTAAGTGCTGTTGCTATTGCTATTGGTCACACTTTTTAATGGCCTCTGGTGGGAGTGGGATGAGGGTAGTGTATCCATCCTCATTCTAGTTGACCTCTCAGCGGCCTTTGATACTTTTAACCATGGTATCCTTCTGGAGCAGCTTCAAGGCTTGGGAGTGGGAGTGGGACTCTGTGTGTCCAGTTTCACTTCCTTCCTCTGTGGTCGCTTTCAGTCAATGTTGATAGGAAGCATGATGTCCGCCCCTCATTCCTTGCTCTGTAGAGTCCCACAGGACTTGGTACTTTTTCTGCTTCTATTTAACATCTACAGGAAGCCACTAGATGAGATCATCCATCATCATGGGCTGAAATATCATCAATAACCTGATAACATCCAGCTATATGTATCAGCCCATGTTGAGTTAAGCAATGCCTTTGCTTCCCTCTTGTAATGCTTGGAGGTTGAAACTGAACCCTGGCAAGTTGGAATGGCTCTGTGTTTGGGGTTCTCTGGTCCATGGAGAATTGCCATCTCTGATCTTGGATGAGGTGCCACTGCCCCAGGTAGACCTAGTGTTTAATCTAGACTCGTGACTCCTGGACTCACAACTCCTGCTCAAGGAGCAGGTGGCAGGCATGGCCAGGAGGGTCTTTGTACAACTGTGGTTGTGTGTCAATTATGCCCTTTCCTGCACCAACAATAACACTGTTCACAGTCACTCAGACCCTAGTCCAGGGGTCAGCAAACATAAACACTCAAAGAGCCACTTGGACCCATTTCCCATAGAAAAAAATCACACCGGAGCCACAAAACCTGGGTGGGTGTGGCCAACTCAATGTCACTCACTCATCCAGTCACATGACACCCCCCCTAGCCACGCCTAACCAGCCAGGGGATCCGTACCGCGAGGCTCCAACTCAAGGAGGAGAAGACGGAGGAAGACGGGGGCGGGGGAAGTGTAAACAGCAGCTACCTTGAGCAAGTCGCAGCACTATTACGCAGGGCTCTGAGTGGTTGGAGAAGCGGCAGAAACAGCAGCCAGGGCTGCGCTTTCAGCAGGTAAGCAACACTGCCTCTGCCGCGAGGAACTTTGGAGAGAGAGGGCGGGGGAAGGCTGTGGCTGTTCTCGCCAGCTAAGAGACGGGCTGCTCCCACAGCCTGCCCCACCCTCTCTCCAAAGTTCCTCATGGCAGAGGCAGCTTTGCTTACCCGCTGAAAGCGCAGCCCTGGCTGCTCTTTCTGCCACTTCTCCAATCACTCGGAGCCCTGCATAATAGCGCTGCGGCTTGCTCAAGGTAGCTGCCATTTACACTTCCCCCGCCCAGGCTGCGAACTCCAGCCTGAAGCGGCAGGAAGCAAAGGCTGCCTTACGTGCAAATGTGGCACGAAGGTAGGTACAGGGCAGCTTCTCTCCTGCACTCTCCTCCTCCTCCCACTCTCGTGATGCCTGGCTGGCTGTGGCTGAGCCGGGAGCATGCGCACACATGGGAAGACCCTCCTTAAGCAAGCTGCTGCCCACCCTGCGTGCACCTTTCCTGAGCTTCGGCGCTCACTTGAGGAGGGTCTCCCTGCGTGTACGCACATTCCCGGCTCAGCCACAGCCAATCAGGCAGGGCATCATGAGTGTGGAAGAGCCACACTCAAGGGGCCAAAGAGCCGCATGTGGCTCGCAAGCCGTGGTTTGCTGACCACTGCCCTAGTCAACTCATGTCAACTCATGTCTTGACTATTGCAATATGTTCTACATCGTGCTGCCCTTGAAAAGTATCTAGAAGCTTTAATTAGTTCAAAATGCAGCAGTTCACGTGGTTTTGTGTAGGCATAGATGTGCACATATGTCATCTCTATTGCGGAAGCTGCATTAGCTGCCAAGTTCCTTCTGGGTTCAATTCAAGGTGCTGGTTGTCACCTTTAAAGCCCTACAGGGTTTGGGATTAGATTATTTGAAGGACTATCCTTTCCCAGTCACATTTACCTGACCCACCAGAATGGCAAGGCAGGGAATGTTACAGATCCCCTCTCCAAAGAGTTGTGTTTAGCAGGAACAATATGAAGGGCCTTCTCCATGGTGGCTCCCTCCCTTGGAACATCATCCCCACAGAGTTAAGATTGGTCCCCATTTTGACATGCTCTCACAAGACCCTGAAGACCTGGTTTTGCCAGCTGGCTGGGAAACCCAGAGTGGGATGAAGCCCATCAAATGGTTTATTTGATTGACTGATTGTTTTCACCAGGGAGTGGGAGTTATCGCTTTTCATCGTTTTTATATTTTGTTTTTATCTTTGTAAGACATCCGAAGTCACTGAGAGCTAGTTGGGTAGCCATAAAAATTTTCTTAAATAAATAAATAATAATTTAAAAAAGTATTGGAAGAGATTTACCTATGAATATTAATTAAAAATCTTTTTCATAATTTCACAAAGACCTTGAGAAACAGGAATATGTTTTTCTACCTTGGATTCACATGTAAATTTGTGTAAACACATTGTGCAATCAATGTAGCACTATAAAAAATAATAGTTCAATGGAACGTTTTATCTCAACTTCTAAGAACAATCAGCTGTGAAACAGAAACTTGTCTGCATTTGTAAACACATTTTTGGTAGATTCCATTGACACAATTGGAACTTCATTGACACAATTGGAACTTACTTCCAAGTGTGTTCAGACAGTTCACATAAATATCCACCCATTTTTTTTATATAAGTTACTAGGTAGCTTTAAATAGATTCAGGAGCAGATTTTTACAGGAGAAGTCATGAACCTGAGGAAGAAAAAAAGAAAAAAAAGAACTTGAGACAAATCCAAACTTCTGTCTTACAAGGCTTAACGGATATAATTTACTGTTGATCACTGAGTCATTCTGAAATAGAGGAAGCAGGGAAGGTATATAAACCTGGTACTGTCTGCCTGACTTCCACGATTTTCTGAAAGCAACAAAGGAGTTACCTTCAAGTTTATTCAAAACAATAGGTAAGATTTATTATAAACTGCAGCTTGTTTAAAACCATTGTTTGCAATTAAGCAAGTTGAGATCATTTTAGAAAAAAAAAGTAATTTAGGATCAGTCACATTTCACACAATTCTACAAAGTTGTGTTTCTACTTTTAAGAATATGTTACATCTATTACCATAATTTATTAGGTTTTATACTAGCTTAAATAGAATGACTTTTTAAAAAATTGACACTGATGTTTTTTGAATTTGCCAATGATCCCATTAGGCATTCCTGGAATCTTCTAAACTAATATTTCTAACCTACTAAACTAATATTTCTAAGATTCCCTGGAAAGAGGAAATTAGAATTAAAACTGTTTCAAGGCTACAGACCTTTTTGTGCATGTATATGAATGAACTGCAATTGAACTCAATGAGATTGACTTCCAAGTAAATGTATATTGCAATACATAAGACTTCAAATGTTTAAACCGAATCCTAATCCGTTTTGCTTTTTGACTCAAGATGGCATAATACTTTTCCCTAAGACAAACTGACAAACTCATAAAATATGCTATTTTTTCTATTTCCTCCTCTCTATTATTACGGATTTTGGCAGACTGGTTTAGTGCCTCCCAGTATTTTATGCATCGTACTAAAGTTCTAACTCAGCAATTTTAATTTATTAAAATCTATTATTAAATTTATACGCTGCCCATTCCACTATCCATTTTAAAGTTCATCTCAACTTCTGCTGCCTGTAGTTTCTCATTAGATGCTACAGCTATGGAAAAGGGCCACAGAAAAGCCAACTACACATACAGTGGTGTCACACCACTTCCTAGCACACCTGAGATGTTGGGAAGTCAACTAAGAATCATGTTAATCCTATCTGTTTACATGCTCTCAAGATAAAGGCTGCCAGGACAAATTCTTGCAATCAGGAACAAATTCTGATTGCATTGCCTCAGGAGCAATCACCATTGCCAAATTGTTAGCCCTGTAGCCTTTGCATCTGCTGCTATAGTTGATTATGGTATATCTGATATAAGGCAGAAGATTGAGAAGCAATATATTCTAAATGAGCTGTTTCCAACCTGGGGTCCTTCAGACATGTTGAATTTTAGATTCAATCATCCCTGATAGGTGTGATTTTTTTGATTGGCTTTTATGGAAATAGCTGGAGTTCTCTTTTACTGCAGCAAATCAATAGGGAAAAGTTTAGGAACTATTTTAGGTTTATAGATTTATATATAGATGATACAGTAGATATAAAAAGTCTGCACACTGTTAAAATGCCAGGTTTTTGAGATATATAAAAAAATCAGACCAAGATAAATCACTTCAGATTTTTCTCCACTTTTAATATATTATGTAAACTGTACAATTCAATTGAAAAACAAACTGTGATCTTTTAAATGGGGGAAAATTTTACAATAATATGGTTGCATAAGATTACACACCCTTAAACTAATACTTTGTTGAAGCACCATTTTATTTTATGACAGCATTCAGTCCTTTGGAGTAGGAGCATGGCACATCTTGCCTTGGTATCTTTACCAATTATTCCTTGCAAAAGCATTCCAAATCTGTCAGATTGTAAGATCATCTCCTGTTGCACAGCCTTCTTCAGGTGACCCTGAGATTTTCAATTGGATTCAGGTTTGGGTTCTGGCTGGGCCTTCCAAAAATTGATCTTCTGGTGAAGCTATTATTTTGTTGATTTGAACATATGCTTTGGATCGCCATGTTGAAAGATGAAATTCATCTTCATCTTTAGCATTTTGGCACAGGTCTGAAAGTTTTGTGTTAAAAATGATCAATATTTGGAACTGTTCATCTTTCCCTACACCTTGACTAAAATCCTATCTCCAGCTAAAGAAAAAACAGCCCCAAAGCATAAAGCTGCCATTACAGGGGTGGGTTCTAAAATTTTTTACTACCAGTTCTGTGGGTGTGGTTTATTTGTGGGCATGGTTTGATGGTCATGTGACAAACAATTCTTTAGGATTTAATAGAAGTACTGGTCTACTAGGCTTTTAACTACTTGTAGAGCCATACCAGTCTACCCATTTGTTCTTGGAGCATACCGGTCTACCCATTTGTTTTTGGAGTGTTCCAGTCTATCTATTTGTTTCTGGAGCGCACTGGTCTACCCATTTGTTTTTGGAGTGCACTGGTCTACCACCACACTGCCTTTTACCACTGATCAGCTGTAAGGTGGCCCTTTGAAGCGCCGCAGCAAGAGTTTAAACAGTTTTTTGCCATTCTGCCACCACCGAGAGTATTAGAAACCACTTTCAGGCAGCTTGGCCTCATTTGCCAATCTACCACCACTGAGCGGTTTACAAGGAGCAGTTCTAGCCTATCAGTTGGGAGGCTTCTTGGCTTCTCAATTTAAAGCTAAGGTATCTTGGGGGTTTTTTCTCTTCTTTGTCAAGTGAGCCGATCAGCTGGGACTCAGGAGGCAGCGAATAGATTGGGGGCAGGGCCAGGCAGAGGTGGTATTTACCGGTTCTCCGAACTACTCAAAATTTCCACTGCCAGTTCTCAAGAATCAAGGAGAACCGGTAGCAACCCACCACTGTGCCATTACTATGTTTCACTGTGGGTACGGTGTAAATTTTGGTGATGTGCAGTGTTCTTTTTGCACCAAACATATTTTTTGGAATTATGGCCAAAAAGTTCAACCTTAGTCTCATCAGACCATAAGATGTATTTCTCGCATGATTTTGTTAGATTTGATGTTGCTTTTTGTAAATGTCGTCAGATTTTGATGTTTTTCTTTGTAGGAAAAAGTTTCTATCTTGTCACCTTACTCCACAGCCCAGGCATATGAAGAACACAGGAGATTATTGTCACATATAGTACACAACCAATACTTGTCATAAATTCCTGCAGCTCCTCTAATGTTGCGATAGGCATCATAGCAGCTTCTCAGACTAATTTTCTTATTCTTTTTCATCAATTTTGGAGGGATGTCAAGTTCTTGGTATTGTCACTATTGTGCCATATTTTCTCTACTTGTTGATGAATGTCTTCACTGTGTTCCACGGTAGAGCCAATGCCTGGGAATTTTTTACACCCTTCCAACAATGAGATCCCCTTGGTGCTTTGTAAGCTCTTTGCAGACCATGGATTTTGCTGTAAGAGACAACTGAGTACATGCCAGAAAAATCCTACTAGAAAAGCTCAACTTTTTATGGGCTTGATCAAGATCACTTTAATTAATGGCAGGTACGTCTGACTACCACTTAACATCAGTTTGAATATGATTGGTTAATTCTGAACACAGCCACATCCCTACTTATAAGAGGGTATGCACACTTATGCAACCATATTGTCCTAAGTTTTTTATTTTTATTTTTTCCGCTAGAAGATTTCAGTTTATCTTTCAGTTGAATTGTACAGTTTATAGGTTATAGTAAAGGTGGAAAAATCCTGATATGATTTATGTTGGTCTGATTTTTTTTTCATTTAAAAAAATATGTCGTGTCCATTTTTTATATCTTCTGTACATATCCTTTAAATGAAGCATAGATATGTAGGTTGCATTCTGGAGTACAAAGAATTAAAGGAGGGAAAAGACATAAGAGTTAGAGTGAGTTTCATATCTAGGAGATATATATCTTCAGAGAGGCCATTCGCAAACATTCTGAACTACTTAAGAAACAAATTCCATTAACCAGATTAAGCACAAATATGTTTCAATGTTTTTTTGTTTTTAGAAATGATTGCCTTCATTGTCTTGCTAAGTGTTGCTGCAGTGCTGCAACAATCTCCTGGAAATGTAAGTTTCATAATTTTGTATCACATATAGCAGATTTACATACATAACTCTCCTCTTACAATTAATCATTCATTAAACTACCCAATATATGTTGGATTTGTGAGGGGGTTGAAATACCTTGAGGAGCAAGAAGAAGAGATGAAGCCAGGACAACAGTCAGATAAATCTAAATCCAATGTAGAAATTTGAGAAAGAATCTCAGACAAGACCACTCTTAGTTCTCAATAAGATGAAGGCTGGGGAAAAGAGCATTTAGATTTTTAAGATTCTATTGCTGTGTTTAGGGGTGGGTTCTAAATTTTTTTACTACCAGTTCTGTGTGCGTGGCTTATTTTGTGGGTGTGGCTTGATTGTCATGTGACAATTCTTTAGGATTTAGCAGAGGTACTGGTCTACCAGGCTTTTAACTGCTTGCAGAGCTGTACCAGTTTACTCATTTGTTTTTGGAGGCACCGGTCTACCCATTTGTTTTTGGAGGCACCGGTCTACCCATTTGTTTTGCAGGCACCGGTCTACTCATTTGTTTTGGGAGGCACTGATCTACCCATTTATTTTTGCAGGCACCGATCTACCCATTTGTTTTTGCAGGCACCGGTCTACTCATTTGTTTTTGCACGCCTACCACCACACTGCCTTTTAACACTGATCAGCTGTAGGGCGGCACTTTGAAGCCCCGCGGCAAGAGTTTAAACAGTTTTTTTCCTTCTAGCCAATCAGCTGGGACTCAGGAGGCAGCAATAGATTGGGGGTGGGGCCAAATAAAAGGTAAGAATAACGCGGGGGGGCGGGGCACAGGGGGGCAGAACTGGTTTGGTGACATCATATCGTCACCGCTACTGGCTTGGGGGAACTGGGCCGAACTGGGAGGAACCCACCACTGGCTGTGTTACTGTAACCTTGTAAGCAAATAATATTATCATTCATTACTTTGGTTTCTTGGTCTGATCACTAAAGCTTGGTCAGTCTAACTATTCATTTTAATTCAAAAATATATTCCAGTGCTAAACACACAAAGCAAAACAAAACCATGCTGAATGGGGCAATCAAATATAACTAAAATTGGCACATCTTATGAAAAGAATCTTACTAATTTTAATGTCCATGGTCTATAACAGAACCTAAGGCCAAGCCCTCTGGAATAGCCCCCCCACCTGAGGGATCCCTACACTTTTAAGCCTTTGAAGGGCAGTGAAGACCTGGTTCTGCCACCCCCTCACCCCCGAAATGTTGGGCTAAGATGGGGGTTCAATGAGGCTGATTGGTCTGAGACTTGGTGGGTAGGGTGGCTCCAGAGGTGGGTTTCATCAGGTTCTGACCAGTTCTGGAGAACCGGTAGTGGAAATTTTGAGTAGTTCGGACAACCGGTAGTAAAAATCCAGACTGGCCCCGCCCCCATCTATTCTCTGCTTCCCAAGTCCCAGCTGATCAGGAAGAAATGGGGATTTTGCAGTAACCTTCCCCTGGATTGGGGAGGGAATGGAAATTTTACAGTATCCTTCCCCTGCCACGCCCACCAAGTCACGCTCACCAAGCCATGCCATGCCCACCAAACCACACCCACAGAACCAGTAGTAAAAAAATTTAAAACCCACGACTGGGTGGCTCGCTTTTTATTCCTGTTGTGAGCCACTTAGGATCATTACATGAGATAGACAGCGATATAAGCTCTTTATGTAAATATATACATACATAAATATCACTGCAGTATTCCCTTGAAATAGATGAGGAAAAATGATTAATTCATTTTAACTTTGTGCTGTAATCACCTGTTTCTTATGTGGCGACTAGTCTCTTTCCAAATGCACAGACAAATGGGGCCACTGTTTCATAGTTGGGGATCACACTTTGCATTTGGGGGAAGTGAAGAAAGTTGCAGGAGTAGAAAGGTGATAGAAGGAGATAAGGCAAAGTCCATTCACAAGGAATGGGCCAGTATTTCTGATTGCTTGTTTGCTTGCTTGCTTGCTTGATTGATTGATAAAATTTATATTGCCGCCTATTTGCACATGGCGACTCAAGGCAGCTTACAAGTATAAACTTTTCAAACTTACATTAGGGCTATTTTAGGGAATATGTGGGAGTTGTGTGTTTCCTGTCTCAGAATGATGAGGAATCATGCCACCAGTTTTCAACAACGGTTGTATCCTGGACCTGGAGAAAAGAAGTTTGGTCTTCCATTCGGCCCTGAGGTCACTAGTTGCCAGTTCCATTTAAAGTCATAATTTTTATTTTTTTATTTATTGTTTGTTTTGCTCTCTGTCTTAAGGCTGATTTTGCTTCTGAGTCAAGTAACAAAAGAGAAAACCAAAAGGAGATTGTTGACAAGCACAATGCTTTAAGGAGATCAGTGAGACCAACTGCTAGGAACATGTTACAAATGGTAAGCTAAATGTAATTATATTTGTGTCCTTGTCAGAAAGTTTGCAAGTTTGACTTTCTTACTAGTTTAAATATTAATGTGCTTTACCAGCTAGGATAAGAGAAGATGCTTACTATTTATTTATTGAGCAGTTTGGCTTCTTTGGCAATATGGATTTAGGTGCATCTGTATTTATGTTTGAATCTAGGGTGAAAAGCCCAAATGGAATGATTTATGTGACTAAATAAATATGATGACATATATGAAAAAAATGGAGGGAGGTGGGGTAGTCAGAATGACATAAATGACAATGTCATGATATATCCAGTGGTGGGATTCAGCCAGTTCGCACCACTTCGGGAGAACCAGTTGTTAACTTTTTTCTTTTCTTTTTTTTTTTTTTTTTTGATTTGATTTATATGCTGCCCTTCTCCGGAGACTCAGGGCAACTTACAGTACAACTTTCTGAACAATTTGGTGAACTGGTTGTTGGAAGAAATCATTAGGGTAGAGAACCGTTTGTTAAATTATTTGAATCCCACCACTGGATATATCCCTCAGCACTTTCTACATGCATCACCAGATCCTGTGGATGCTACTGTGTAAATTATCAGAGAAGAGTCACACATGAATTCATCATGCAGGAATTTTTATAAAATTGGTGGTTGGGGAGGAGAAAATCTGCCCTGGTCCCCTAATGTGTGGGGTTCCATGGGGGTTGGTGCTTCTCCTCTCCTATTTAATTTCTAAAAGAGATTGCTAGGTGACCTTATCCATCACTATGGGATGAGGTATCATCAATATGCTGATAATATTCAATTACATATGTCTGCCCTTGGCAAATTAAGTGATGTTGTAGATGTTTTCTTGTGGTGTCTGGAGACTTTGAAGGTTTGGATGAGGAACAACAAGCTTTGGGTTTTGGGATGCTCCAGTTCTGGGACTATGATATCTTTGCTGCTCGATGGTGTTATATTGCCCTAAACAGATTCTGTGCCCAATCTGGGGGTTCTCCTGGATTCACAACTCCTGTTTAAAAAGCAGATGGCAGTTGTGGCTAAGAGGGACTTCCTAAACTTCATATTGTATACCAGTTGTGCCCATTCCTGAGGGGCCCTGTTCACAGTCTTTCATGCCCCATCCCAGTCACCTCCTGGTTGGACTGTTTTAATGTGCTTTACATGGAGCTGCCTTTAAAGAAATCCAGAAGCTTCATCTGGTGCAAAATGCAGCAGAATGGGTAGTTATGTGTGTTCCTTGTAGAACAAATAATATACTTCTGCTCAGCAAGTAGCCTTGGCTACCAGTTTGTCTCCAGGCCCAAATTAAAGTGCTTATTTTGACCTTTAAAGTCCTGCATCAGCAGTCCCCAACCTTTCCGGCTTGGTGGCCTAGCGCAGGGGGGTAGAGGGGATGGTTGTGTGTGAGGGGCAGAATGGAGCTTTGCACGTGAACACAAACACCCACCACTTGCATGAGTGGAGTTGCGTGCGTAAGTGCCCACCACTTGAACAAGTGGAGTTGTGTGCACGCTCGCTCGCCTCTCGCTTGAGTAGAGCTCACTTGCGTGGCCAGCTTCCCGAATGGGCCACGACTCAGGTGTTGGGGACCATTGTCCTACATAGCATGGGGCCAGGTTATTGGAGAAACCACCTCTTCCCAATTACATCATCCTGTCCCAGTTCTGGTCCCATTTCATTTTAGTCATATTTTATAGTTTTTGATGTTTTTAGTAATAATTGTTGCTGTTATTGTGAATTATTGTTTTTTTTAACTTTGTTGTGTGCCACCCAGAGTTTTGTGTTTTATGAGAAAGACAGGTAAGGGATGGGGCGGGAGCGCCAACTATTCAAAGCATTTTAAAGAGAATATTGGTGTAACTTCTGAATTCTTAATTACAAGATTTGAAGGAATCCAAAAGGTAGTAAAACATTACAAGGCATATTTTCTGCAAATTTAACATATGTTTTTTTCAATAACTGGTTGTTGCTGTCAACTTCTATTCAGGAATGGAATTCTAATGCTACTCAAAATGCAAAACGTTGGGCAGATAGATGTTCTTTTAATCACAGTCCACAACACTTAAGAACTGTGGGTAAGTCAGTCCAAAACGATAGTATGGTTTTAACTGGTTAGTGGATTAATAGTATATTTCACATTAAATAGCACTTACAATCAATCTTGCGCCTCAATATTAGCAGCAAAAGTAATACCTATGAATTATTCTATAGTTACCACTCCTATATAGATGATTTGGTTTGATCGAGATGTTAATAATTTTCTTAATTCCTCCCCCCAATGGGTTTGCAGGAGAAATAGTATTTGAACAATGATTTTTTTTCATTTATTTTGTATATTATATATTACTACATTTATAGCCTACCATTCCCCAACAATGCTAAAGATAATGTCCTCACCACAGCTATTTTTGATGGTAGATGCTGAGCCCAAAGATGTTCAGAGATTTCCATGGTCAATTGGAGAATTAAATCTAAATCTTCCTAATCTCACTATGTATTAACATACAGATGTCCGCACAAATTAGGGCATCTGGGCAATAATTTACTTCCAAATAAAGTATATTAATGTTTTCATATGCTTTTCAGAAAACAAGGATTGTCAGTTTGCACAAGCAAAGATTCTAGAAAAGCATCACAGTAATTTGGGTGCAAAATGTTCATTTCCTTTCCAATGGTTTATCAAGATGATTGCATTAGTATTTCTGGAGAGATAAGAAATGCTCAGATATCTCCTTTCTGCTGCCCTTTGCTTCTTTCAAAACATGTATTCACCTGTGTTTTCTTGCTGTTCCTTTTTTTTTTTTAACCTTCCACACTTTTAGGAAAATTAAGTTGTGGTGAAAATCTATTCATGTCGAGTCATCCTCATTCATGGACAAGAGTAATTCAGGCTTGGTATAATGAATACAAAAAATTCAGATATGGCGTTGGAGCAAACCCACCAGGTTCTGTTATTGGCCATTATACTCAGGTAGGACTTTTTCATATCTTTGCCATTTCTGTGTTCACCAAGTATAAATCCACAAAAATGAATAAGATAAAAAGGTAGATTCCTTTGAATTAAGCTTAACTCCTTGGCTGATCCTGAATTACTAAGCTAGGCCAGGCCTGGTTGTTACATAGGAAAATCATGGCTTGAAGCTAGACTGGAAAATTGAGAAAACACCCACAAAAAGAGCTGAAGGTGCTTCTTGGATGAGAAGCAAAATGTCTTCAAAGAAAAACCAGAAAGTCCAGTTGCCTCTTGGAAACAAGGATCTTTGGCACAACCATGACCTGGATGACTGAGAATCTCCATAGAAGATGGAGATTCTCAGACAAAAAGACAAAAAGATAATAGCAAAACCAAGAAAACCAAGCAACTATGTCCTTAAAATCACTAAGTAATCCCATAAACATGTTGTGGTCCATCGGCTGCCAGCAGAGCTAGCAGCAGAATCAGACAAGGGCAAGGGGGAGACTGGGCCAGCTTTGGAGACTTTAGAAGGCTCTGATGAAGAAGAAGAAGAGGCAGATGCAGAGCCAGGACCTTCTATCCGCCCTAAGGTAGAGAGGCAGCTATCTTTGGGGCTTGAGCTGAGTGAGGGGGAGGAACAGGTGGGGGTCCATCCCAGATGCACATATGCATAGAGAGGAGAGGAGAGCAATGGAAGGCAATAAGCTGGCTCTCAGGGAAAGAAGTTGCAGATGCTAGCCAGCTCCTCCCTGGCTTGGAAATAAATAGTAGGGGTTTAGGAGTGGCCTGTTATTGCAGACAACCATTCATTTTCCAGTGTACATCAATCAAGTCGGATTCCTTTGCCAGAACCAGGTTTGTCGGGACTACCTGTAATTGCTCTGTCTTTGAGGTGCCAACTGTGTCTCCCTACTGGGAACAATAGGTAGTGCATTGCCTCAACCGGTGTGAACAGGGATTGTTTCTGCTTGGCTTAATCATTGAACTTTTTATCTTGAGTTCTCATGTGAACAGAGACTGTTCGTGCCCTGCTTCAGAAGGGGGGAAAGACTTTCATTTGTGACTAATTATTTTTGGTTTTGTCTATCCAATGTGAATAAAGACTGTTCCTGTCCTGTTTTTAAAAAGAGGTGTGTTTTACTCATGAGTAAGTGGTTTCTCATTGCTTGCAAAGGCTGGGTCAGAACAAAACATGAGCAGAGGAGCATCGTGGTTAAGAGTTGTAGTCCCAGTCTATGTTAAGGAAAGGCAAAACTAGACTAGATTAAAGTGTTGTAATGTTTCTGTTGTTGTTGTTTAAGTTCTGATATGGTGCAAATGAAGGATGGCAAACATACTAAACATGTTATTTGTTATTCATAATTTGCTGCCCATTAAGACATTGGCTTTCATACAGCTGGAAGGAGGAACTAGCTTGCTGGTCGTGGCACTTGACACGTAGACTGCTTTGGATGTGGTGGGGCACTTTAGAAAGAGATGGTCTATAAGGATGGAGCAGTTTCGTATTTTACATTTTAAATACTGTATATACATTTAAAGAATGGGATGAAACCTTATTTGTTCTAATATTTCTTTGCTTTGGCAAACATTTACATGAAATGATTGGAAAAGTTCTTTGTACGTTCATTGTTATTGTGGTATCCCACTTCACTGGCTAAGAGCAGACAACTATATATACTGCAACATGCTCGCATCTGGGTTTATTTTCTTACATGCTCCTCTGAAGTGCATATGCTTATTATCAATATTAAGCTTCTAGCATGTCAACCTGTGTGCATATTTTTTGTATTTACAGATAGTTTGGTACAAAAGTTACCTTGTTGGTTGTGCTGCTGCCAGATGTACTTCATCCAGATTCAACTACTTCTATGTTTGTCATTACTGCCCAGCGTATGTATCAACTATGATTTGTCTCATCAAGACAGAGAGATAGAAGAAGGAGAATGTTACAAAGAAAGAGGGGAAATGAAAGAGGGGAAGAAAACAGACATAAGGAGGAAGTCAACGTTTCCTTCAATTCTTTCTCTCTCTAATAAGCCGGGAAAATCCTTTTTTTGCTTTCTCACAAAACTTGACAGAGTTTACTGCCTTTTGGAGAAGACTTCAGAAGTCAGGTCTTCCCCTCTGATGGTGGTGCTGTCTGCTCTCTCAAAACTGGAACCCCAAACCAGAGAGACCAAAACAATGCAACCAAAGTCAATTATCTATTGATATGGCATTTTGGGGGGGAGGGGGGAATGTTCTGCAATCATAAATGTAACTATAATAATATATGGCACCTTTCTATTCATCTTTTTCATTCTAGAGGGAACATCGTAGGTTCAATTGCTACTCCATATAAATCAGGGCCACCTTGTGGGGACTGTCCTTCGGCTTGTGTCAACGGACTATGCAGTAAGTTTTTTTTTTTTAAAAAAAAGATCAATTATTAAACTAACATTTGTAAAGGTCGTGTCATGTCACAAAAGAGCAGATTTCATTTGAAGAGGTAACTGTCTCTAGGTAGGCATAATGGAAGATGGCCAGCTATCCAGCAAGACAGGCCTAGGCAAGACAACTGGATCATTACGTACATGAAGTGTGCTATTGTGGGATAACCAGACATCTAGAGTTGCCTCAATGGTGCTTCTATATAGAATTCTTTATTGGCCAAGTGTGATTGGACACACAAGGAATTTGTCTTAAGTGTATATGCTCTCAGTATACATAAGAATAAAATACATTCATCAAGAATAAAAAGATACAACGCTTAGTGATAGTCAATGTTACTAATAAGCTATCAAATCATACTAGGAAACAAATAAAAACAATATAATTGAATAATACAAGCAACATGGCTATAGTAACAAGTGGGAAGAGATAGATACTAGTACGGAAGAGAAGAATAATAGTGATACAGTCTTAGTAAATTATTTGACAGTGTTATGGGAATTAGTTGTTAAGCAGAGTGATGGCATTCAGGAAAAACTGTCCTTGTGTCTAGTTGTTTTGATGTGCAGTGCCCAATAGTGTCTTTTTGAGGGTAGAAGTTGAAAGAACTTATATCCAGGATGTGAGGGGTCTGTAGATATTTTCACAGCCCTTTTTTTGACTCGGTGCAGTATACAGGTCCTCAATGGAAGGCAGGTTGGTAGCAATTTTTTTTCTGCAGTTCTAATTATCCGTCAAAGTCTGCATTTGTCTTGTTTGGTTGCGGAGCCAAAGCAGAAAGTTATGGAGATGCAGATGACAGAATCCCACACTAGTGGTGGCAATTGAATCAGAAAAGATGAGGATGATATCGATCCATTTCAATTTATGAAGAACTTAAAATCCATACCAGCTTTCTCTGAATTTTGTTCAGGGCTATTGTTGAAACTAATTCAGTAGCTATATATAATTACTGTAATATATACTCTAAAATAATTACTCTAAGTACTATTTTAATTTTAAAAATCTTCAGCTTTAAAGCACCCCATTAAAAATACATATGTTTGATTCTGAGCTCTAAAACTGCATACAATTGTAAAAGAGTTCCTAGCAGTTATGCTTTTGGTGATGTTTCACTTTTATTCATGTTTCCTCTTTTTAAAATTTTCAGCAAATCCTTGCAAATATGAAAACAGGTTCTCAAACTGCGAATCTTTAGCAAAACAAATGGGATGCCAGTCAGCTTGGATCAAATCAAACTGCCCTGCTTCTTGCTTCTGCCGCAACGAAATAATATAGAGGATCTCCCATTCAATATTTGTTATCTCTGTCAGAAAAATCTAAATTCCTATTCAAATCATGGCATCTTTTTGGTATCAGCAAATGGTATCAGCAAATACTGATTTCTTATATTTTGCGTAAGTGTCCTATGAATGCCTAAGGGAAATGTAAGCAGGAGTAGAGGCTAGGGATGAAAACTGTAAGTTCAAAGGGTCATAGGAAAAATCACAGGCCTGGGTAACAGCAAAAAAAGGGCCACACTGTAAGCTTGTTTAAAAGAAAACACTGAAGGCCTGAAAATAAGATCACCAAAATTCTTTGTACTCCAACTGTACTTAAGAATTTCTTAAATGCTTATATTAAATCTAACTTAGAACTGATCTGATGTCATTCATGCAAAGTATATGCCAGGTTTTGGTGTTTTTAATGTTTTAATCGGTTGTGGTTTATAGTTTAATATGATATTATGATTTTTAATTTTTGATTGGGAGCCACTCAGAGTTGGTTGAAAGATGGGCAGCTTTATAAATGTTTTAAATAAAAAAATAAATTCTGTGTAAAAGCAAAATGCCCAATTGACTGGTCAATGTATTGTGTATATGTATATATATGTGTGTGTGTTTGTGTGTTTGTAATTTGGTGTAACAATCTACCAAATACTATAAAAAAACGTAACCTTCATGAAGTGGTCTAATATTCCTGGTGAGACTCTTAAAGATATTCAACCAAAGGCTTATCTTAGTGCACTAAATGCTTTCTTCTGCATAAGTTTTTTTTAAGTGTTTTCCTACTTAAAACAAGAATTTTTACATTAAAAAACCACCTTGTAATGCAGAGTTTAAGCATCACAAATTCAATATCATTTGGAAACAAACATAAAGGGTAAAATCACCCTGTTGTCAGACTCAGCACCTAGTGACAGTGGAGATACATCTGTATTATTTGTTTAGCAAATAAACAAATGGAAATAGCCTTATATTGCCATCTTCTATATGTTTTTAACTTCCCAGTCATGTCCATCTTAGCCCTAGAAGTGTTGATGGTTTCCCATCCTTCTGCTAATCTAGTCTGACTCTGCTTAGCCAGCACAGGAATGACCTCATTTATGACTGAACTTTTTCTTCACTGAAAACATAACTTCCAAAATGAAATTGCTGTTATACAAATCTATGGTGAGGGAAGGGAAGGGATCATTCTTCCTTCATTTGTTGAGATATTTACTCTGATTATATTTTAGTTCTACATTATTACAATTATTATGCTTGCAGGAAAAAAAAGGGAAATGGATTAGAGCTGTGAAGCCAAAGCTAGGGTTCCCACCAAAATTACTAAATGTATCACTCCATGAATTTGGGAGGTAGCCTTCAACTGAACACTTTTTGTAGTGAGCTCCACACTGGAAAAATGGTTTATTGTGTTAAAGGCCTCTGCAAAACTGAAGGATTGGCTTTCACAAGGTGGAACATCAGAATCCTAAAAGACATCCTTGCATCATCAGAACTTCTTGTTTTTTTTATCTCTTTCCCTGATAAATCACTGCCTCTGTTTTACCTCAAGAAATAGGTTGCTTCAATTTTGTTAATGTCCTTGGGTGCATGTTAAATCCCACAAGCTGGGCTTTTTCTCCCTCTCCTCTTCAGAATTAAGAATACATGGGGCAAATGTATCTTGAGAAGAGATGGGCCTAGCTCCCCTTCCCTCTCCTGCTAATTGCAGCTGCTGTTCTGTATGCAGGCACTGCAACTATTATTTAGTAATGACGCAAGGAACCTTGTCAGAAAAGCAATCTCTTAGCAAACTATGGTACGTGGAGTCTGTTATGTACTTGTGCGTCAGAAATGTGTTCAGTAAAGCAAAGAAGAAAGGGTGTGTGCTGAACCATGCCTGGCAATTTTTCAAGTTTTCCTACCCTGTGAAAGAAGCTTCTATTTTTCTGACTTACTCTCCGGGTGCTTGAGAATTTCTTTCAAATTTCTCTGGGTCATTCGTGAGCTTATTATAATAATGGAGGTGGTAATAAAAAAAGTCATGCTTTCTGTTATATACTTTGCATCATTCTGAAACCTCTGTCTTCCTGGTTTGGAGAAAGCTCAACACTAGCATTCCCTTCCTTTCTTCTAAATATTGATCATGCAGTAAAAGATCACACAGACCAACAACCCTTGGCTACCTCACAACTTTAAAAAATGGGGAACGCCCAAGTGCATCTTTGGGAATTTATTTATTGTGGTCTTTGTACACTGCTTACTCCACATTGGACACACAGCAGTTAAAATACACATAAAAATAAAACATTTTAAAAGCCCATAGCCACAACATCAGTAACTAGAAATATCTCAACAGCAATGATCCCATACTTAAAAACCCATTTCAATATTACATAATAATAACATAAAAATCATTCAGTAAAACTTTCCCAGTCTGTTTTGGTCACCTTTCTAAATACCAGAGGGAGTTGGTACAACCTATATCTTTGTAGAGATATACTGTATGGCAACTCTCCACAGGGATGGACTTTATACAGAAAAACATGGTGCCTTCATCATCACTTGATGACAAGGACTTTCAAACTACAGTTTGTGGTGAGTCCACTGGATGGGTCAAGTCAACTTGAAGGATGTAGTCCCATAAATGCTCAGAGGCCAAGTCATTAAGACCTTTCAAAATGAGAGCAATTTGATTGGACTTTAATTCTTGGTGATTAGCCATTACCCTAATAAATTTAGAAAGAAAATAATTGATCCAAATGAATCAGTTATCAGTTATCAAACTGAAGTTATCAGTTTGGGGATGTTATTATACATGCATTAGTTTTTCTTCGTGGTTGGATTATTTTAACTTTGATTATAGAGTTCTTTTTGTATTGTTTTGGGGGTTAGGGCTTGTGTTGCTTTGTTTTCTCATAAATTGGTTGGTTAGCCACCCAGAGTTATCTGTTTCAATAAAGGAGAATGGTTGTTCTGAGCTATGTATGTTGATTTGAGTTCCTGACTGAAAGAGATAAATCTAATATATGAATTCTTGTCAGTAATTGAAATCTTTATAGATACTGTATTATATCACTTGCAACCTGATCCCGTTATTGCAATAAATGTATTTAGGCCTAGAAGAATATGGATCAAAAAATCAAGATGGCCTCCACACACTACACACTTTTTAAAGGGAATTTTAAAAATACTACCACCCCCTTACAAATGCTCCAGAGTAGCGCATATTTTACATGTAGCAGGCCACCAGTTTATCTGTTTACTTATTATCTTGGGTTGCTCATACAACATCGACAAAGAAAGATTCCCCTTCAAATACTGAGGCATTCTTGCTACTTAAAATATTGAATTAGCAGTGTCTCATTCAAGCTCCAGTGATAAACGTAAGTTGATTATGATCACTTTGGGGGCAGAGAAAAGTGGGGAAAGTGTTCCATCCATGATTCTTTCTGTCTTTAGAAGAACTGTGGTTGTCCTCCTTCCTCTCTGACCGTTCGCAGTTTGTGTTGGCAGGGGGGCAGAGGTCGACCTCGAGGCACCTCGCGTGGGGGGTGCCGCAAGGGTCGGTCCTCTCGCCCCTTCTGTTCAACATTTATGTGAACCACTGGGTGAGATCATCCGTGGTTTTGGGGTGACAGTCCATCAGTACGCTGATGACACTCAGTTGTACATCTTCACCCCAGACCATCCCAATGATGCCCTTGATGTGATGTCCCGCTGCCTGGAGGCCGTGCGGGTCTGGATGGGGAGAAATAGGCTCAGACTCAACCCTTCCAAGACCGAGTGGCTGTGGCTTCCGGCGTCCCAATATAGTCAGCTGGTGCCATCGCTGACTATTGAGGGTGAATCTTTACCCCCCACAGAGAGGGCTCGCAATCTGGGTGTCCTCCTGGATGCACAGCTGTCTTTAGAAGAACATATGACGGCCATGGCCAGGGGGGCTTTTTATCAGGTTTGCCTGATCCGCCAGTTGCGGCCCTTTTTGGACCGGATGCCTTACGCACAGTCACTCACGCCCTTGTCACCTCCTGGCTGGACTACTGTAATGCTCTCTACATGGGGCTCCCCTTGAAGAGCACTCAGAAGCTCCAACTGATCCAGAATGCGGCCGCGCGGGTGGTTATGGGCGCGACTCGTTGCGCCCATGTGACACCTCTCCTGTGCGAGCTGCACTGGCTCCCAGTGATCTTCCAGGTGCGATTCAAGGTGTTGGTTACCACCTTTAAAGTGCTCCATGGCTTAGGACCTGGGTACCTTCGAGACTGACTTCTGCCACCAATAGCCTCCCACCGGCCAATTCACTCCCACAGAGAGGGACTCCTCAGGGTGCCATCAGCCAAGTTATGTCGGCTGGTGACACCCAGGGGAAGGGCCTTCTCTGCGGGAGCTCCTGCCCCGTGGAACGAACTGCCCCTGGAAATACGCAAGATCTCCGACCTCCGTGTGTTTCACTGTGCTCTTAAGACCCTGCTGTTCTGCCAGGCAGGGCTATCTATGTAAATGATTTTAAATTGGGTGTTTTAAATTTTGGGTTTTAAATTTGGGCCGAAATTGTTTAATACTTTTAACTATTTTAAAACTGTTGTTTGTACCTTGTCTTTTTAATTGGCTGTACACCGCCCCGAGTCCTTCAGGAGAAGGGCGGTATATAAATTAAATTATAAATAAATAAAATAAATGATTCTCCTAACATAGCTAGTGGGCTTTCCTCGACTGGCTACATTCAGTAGCAGCCACGTTCTTCTCAGTTCAATATCAATTATGGAGTGAATATGGATGTGTTCAGGTCTGGATATACCAGTTTCATAGGCAGTTTATTCTCATTCATTCTTTTCCCCCCCTTCTCCCTCCCTCCCTCTCCTCCCCCACCTCAGGAAAAGATATACACCTGATTTTCTCCTATTCACTTCTAATCTAGATGCCCCTTTCAGATCAAAAGGGCAGAACAGCAAAAAAAAAAAAAAAAGTATCATGGATTAAAATGAGTACAGGTTAATTCCAGGGCACAAAATAAACCTCCCTCAACAAAACAGTCTATCATAGATTTTAACAGCTGTGGAAAAGGTCAGAGTACCAGGGACCATAGCATTTACTTCAAGTCTTGTCTGAATGTTGTGAATCTTTTACACAGCTGGAGAGGAATTAAACTAGGCCTCAGTTTGATAGACATGTTTCCCGTAAATGGAGAATTGGACAGCCTGTGAGCCAACATCTCTAAGCATCAGGTAGAACAAAGGAAAGACAGTTTTGGAGTGAATATGGCAAATTCTTTTTATAGGCAAAGGCTGATCTATAACCCGAATTTTAAAAATGTGTGACAAGTACCAGTAATCTATTTGAGAAATAACCTGCTAAAGAAAAGTAGAGTCACATACCTTTTGGAAATTCAGCTCTCTTTAGTAGCACAGTTTTATTGTTCTTTCAGACAGTCTTAAATTCAACTCAGTTAAGAGCTAAAATGTGGCTTAATTTTGAAATGTTAAAATGAGGCTGCCATCTCCTGGACACGTTAACTGCAAACCCAGCAGCATTACAGTGTTCATGTCACAAAAGTGGGATTCAGGAGTGAAAATTTAGAGCAGAAGATCTGTAGGTCTATTTGGTTTTATGAATGAGGACCTGTTGGGAAGCAAGTCTGAATTTAAAGCTGTAGATGAGGAAAAGGTGTCATATTGTACATATTGCACATTCATGTCAAATCATACAATATTCAATCCTGTCATTCGTGCTAGTAAGTGCTGTGAATGCTTTTGTTTTTTATATCAGTCATCATTGGAATAAATTGATTCCAAGGGGATTTAAATGTATCTAACTCTCTGGAGCAAAAGAGTTTCTGGGCTGGTGCCTTAACTACTACACCAAACTGGCTGTTAAAAAAATATGGAAATATGAAAAACAGAAAATGAAAGAGTATCATGGGATAGAAATTCAAAAGAATTTTGTAGTAACAAAAGCCAATAATTCACTTTAATTTTCAATCAGACTTTTCAATATAATCAAGGGATATTTGCCACTCTAAACTTACTAATTAAGTATCGATAGCACTTAGACTTATATAATGCCCCCATGGTACTTTACAACACTCTCTAAGTGGTTTACAGTGTCAGCATATTGCCCCAAACAACCTGGATTATTTTACTGACCTCAGAAGGATGGAAGGCTGAGTCAACCTTGAGTCCTATCAGGATCAAACTCCATGCTGTGAACAGACGTTGCTGCAATACTGCATGTTAACCACTACACCACCAGTCCCAGTGCTGATTGAAATTGCAATCCTACTGATTTCAGTTGAATTCTCTACTTAGATCTGTTAAGAATGGCAGTCTTTCAATCTGTGATAAATAGCTAACTTGACCAGGACTTTTTTCTGAGGGACACTCAAATAGTGGAATAACCTTTCCTCAGAAGTCCAGAAAATGGTCAGCTAAATTCAAGTAGAGCAGATTTATATATTGATGTAAATATATATTCAGAATGTTTGCAGTCTGCCTGACATAGCTGATAGACTGGGCTGAGTTTGAAGCATCAGTAAATGCAGACCAAGTTGGTTTCACAACAAAAGCCATGTTTTTCAACTCAAGGAACAGCAGAATAACACAAGTGAAACCCTCAACTAGGAAAAAACAGTGCTTTAAAATCTATCACGAGATTTGTTTCACTCAGAACACTCACAATGGCAATTCTGAGGTTTGAACATCCTTGAAGTGAAAACATTTTCCGTATTTCTGTAAAACAAGTATTTTCAACATCTTCATGTTTTTACTTACCACAAAGAACTTGGGTTTAATTATATAGCACATTAATGGCTTACCTTAAGGCTTCTAATAGTCTAGATTCTGTAAATCTTGGGAGATGGAGACCATACACAGCCTGAAGTGTGTTCATTTCCACTGCAAGACTTCACTTGAGGGTGAGATCTTGCAGACATAAGGGCAGTTTGTTTCTTTTAATGTTGCTTCATCCATTTCAATGTCAAGAATTTTCTTTCTTGGATGGAGTATTTGGTGTATGGAAATTAAAAGGCTCACTGATTATGACACTTTTCACATTCTTATGTATTTGAAGCTGCTTCTGGATACTTTTTGTAATGTTTCAAAATCAGGGACTTTAATTTTGGTATTTGGCTTGCATTTGGATTCTTCACTTTGATCAAAAGTTTTGCTGCCTGGCCTCATGGTACCTTTATGTCCTAATCTGCTATTAGAAAGCTATAAATTACATAGAAGCTCTTCAGATCTAACTTGAATTCTAATGTTCTTCCTTTAATTTCTCTATCATTTCTGAACTGAAAAAGTTATTCCCTAAATTAAGGAACCATCTCACTATAAATCACAAGAGTGTAATTCTGGCTGGTATAGTTTTAACAATTAATGACATTTTAAAGCAAACACTAGTTCTTACAAGCAAAACAGAACAGAACCCAAATTTAGACAAAAAAAATTATCTATTAAAAAGAAAAACCAAGAAAAGGTTTTTTTATATAAATAATTTTTATTAAACATATTTCAACCTTTACACATTTCCACTCTTTACAGCATTCAGTATCGGTATCACTCATATACACAGTTTCCAATTTTATAGATTACCATTCTATATATTATATATTTAGATTTAATTATACTATAATTATTTACTGTATTTTTCGGTGTATAAGACGTACCGGAATATAAGACGCACCTTAATTTTGGGGGAGGAAATCAAGAAAACAAGAATTCTACCTCTGCCTTTTGGAACTGTCTGGGGGGAATCTGCCTGGCAGCTTCGGGGAACAAGGTGGGTGCCACGATTTGCGGCTGGTCACCCCAACAGGGCTGGTCACCCCGTTGCACATTCCCAATGGGAAGAAAAGCACTTTCAGGCGGAAGCGCTCCAATCGCCTTCCTGAATCCAAAATGATTCCCCGCTGCACATTGCAGGGGAACTGGCCGTCCGCCACCTGAAACGCGGCTCTGATTATTGCGTTGGGGAATCCGGGCAGTGGTGGCTGGAAAGGAGGGGCGATTTTCTTTAGGAGCTCTCATTTGGGTCGCTCGGCTCTTGGGCGCAGAGGGCTTAGGTGGCAGCTCCTACATTGCAGGGGAGTGAAGTCATTGCGGCCATTGCCTGCCCTAAGCTGCCTGCTGGGCAGCCAGAGGGGTGACCAGCCGCAAATCGTGGCACCTGCCTTGTTCCCCGAAGCTGCCGGACAGATTCCCACCCACTCAGACTGTCCCGAAGAGGGTTGTTCTTCAGGCTGTGCCCCGACCCAGATCCCTACTGCCTGGAACTGCCCGAAAATGGCCAAAGGGTGGGGGCCGGCGGGTGGGCAGGGCTACATTTGGCGTATAAGACGCACCCAGATTTTCACCCCCTTTTTGGGGGTGAAAAGCTGTGTCTTATACACCAAAAAATACGGTATCAATGTACATACATACCTTTTACCTTTAAATTGTAGCAATATTTAGACATACAGTATTTTCCAGTTTAATATGACTCTCAAGTGGTCTTTATGTATGGACTTTACCTCTATTTTCTAGCCAATTGTACCATAAATTCCAAATCTTGTAGTATTCCATTTCTTCTCTATCTTTTTGTTCCATAGTTAACTTATCCATCTCTGCACAATCAAGAAAAGTATTTTCAATCGTCTGGGGGTTCTTTCCTGTACCTGGATATAACTCAGACTAAGGCCATTATCTATTCTACAAGAACTAAGATGTCAAGCACCAATAAAACAAAGAAATCCAGGCAATTCAAATAAATATGAAGTTTATTGCAAGCTTAAGTTCTCTATAAGAATCTGAACTACTAATAGTTGAAGCAAATTGGCGATAGATAGCGTCAATGGAAATCAAGGTGGGCTGGACTTGGATCTCTTGTGGGTGCAAAGGGACTCAACTCGATGTGTTTGACCCCTCCCTTGGGCTCAGTCTGGTCATCTCCTACAGAAGGATTCTTTTTAGTTTTGTTTTCCATCAAACTTATTTATATTCCCTTTTTTGTACCCAAGACATTTAATAACATTTTTGTGCAACGATCAATATGCTGATTTATGTATGCAATATGTAACCACTTAAGGTAGAAAAGGCAATTTGTAAGTAAAAGATACATGTCCCAAAGGTACAAGATGAGAAAACCCTTAGAAAGGATATATACAGTTCAAAGGTATTGGGTTTGGCATATATTAATTGATCAGCATCATTTGAGTCCTCAAGCATGTAGACAGCATGCCCATAAATGTACCATGTAACAGTTCATAGAATCCCATTATTCTTAGTATGATCCTGATAAGGGTCAACTGAATATTCAAGGGGCGTGTTTCCCACATAATTAGTTTTCACGTTAATAAAAGTTCAACTCTCTGGCAAAGAGCCGTGGCGGCGTAGTGGACTAAACTACCAGCTGCTTGCAATTACTGCGAGTTCAATTCTCACCAGGCTCAAGGTTGACTCAGCCTTCCATCCTTCCGAGGTAGGTAAAATGAGGACCCGGGTTGTAGGGGCAATAAGCTGACTTTGTATAAAATAGAACACCGCTTAGGGGGGGCCAAAAAGCCCTACTAAGCAGGTATATACAAAAGTATGAAGGCTATTGCTTAATGCATTGTAAGCCGCCCTGAGTCTCTGGAGAAGGGCGGCATATAAATCGAACTAATAAAAATAAAAAATAAAATAAAATTATTGTCTCTAGTTGGTTCCTATCAGAATTTCACATTCTTACTTGTTACTTCAAATTATTTAGAAACATTAATCAAAGACACTCTTTGTTACTGAAAATAGTTAGCCAAAGGGCCCGCTTCTCCTGCTTCCATCAAAGAGGTCAAAAATACAAAATAAAAAGGAGTTATAGTAAATAAAAATGGTTTAATAATCACTAATACAGATTTTCAAGTTACAACCAAGTTAATCATTCCTGGCAAAAATGATGGGATTTGGCTACTGTCAGTCAATTTATTTCATTCAATTGATTATGTCAGTGAACAAGTCACCAGTCAAGAAAATTACAAAAGTTTTCTTGTATCCTGATGTCAGAATATAAATCCTGGCATTTGGTTCATGTCATCACGTGTTAACTTAGATTGACAGAACATGAACACAACCGCAAGTTAAGTAGGTGTCTAACGCAGTGCCTCTATAAAGGAACCAAGTTCCAAACTTAGGATAGTGTACTAGTTAAGAGTACTGCCTCTTCCTTTAGTCATTTCATCGAGTGTTCACCTGTAAAAAAAAAAAAGCAGAACTTATTATGTAGAATGATATCAATGTATAATTTGTCAGCCTTTATTCTCCATATAATATTCTAAATTTTCAAAAGCAACTGCATATACCTAATTGTCCACATCAAATAACCACAATTATAATTATAAAATACGTTTTCACTTACGTACATACAATAATATTATGGTAGGAACTATCATTTTGATTTTAAAAATTTACAAAAATTGGACAAAAAGGACACTGGAGCAATTGGAAGAATGTTAAAACAGCTTAGCACATCATCAATCTTAAGAAAGCTGCGGACTATTTCTGTAGCTACAGTGAGAGCACTGATTGACACAATGAAGGCTGTACTACCAGCTCTTCCAAGATATTGAAATTCCACCCAATAATTCACAATATCAATGTATTAACAATTATCAGCAAACACCTTAAACGTGAAATCATACATCTTTAAGAGTTTTCATTATACGTTTAAGCTAAATATCTTTACACATTTTCAAATGTCTACACTAAAATATAATCATGCAGTTTGTTATTTTCTCACCACATGCTGTACCTATCAGCCAATATTTTGGGTGTATGTACATATGTAATTTCTCAACACCAGAAACTCATTTTAATTCTGCTTAGAACTGCAAATCAAAACAAGTATTTAATTCTTATGGTGTGACTTCTTTTTAAAGAAACAGACCAGTAAGATCACTGAGCTTAAAAGTCATTGTTAGGTGTCTCAAACTAATGGCCCTTTTAAAATTAAAAAAAATGTTTTGACAAGTATTTCCCATATTTAGAATATAGTTTTGGAAGTAACAAAATCATAATATTAACTTTAATTGCAGAAATGGCTAGGGATTCTGTTTATATAAACAAATATAAAGAGAAAGTACAGCCCAAGTAGGATCAGCCTAGCTTTCCCTGAGTCTTTTTGCAGGAGATAAAAGCTTATTAAGCCTGTTTTATTGCCAACAAAAGATGATGAACAATCACACCACCTTTATTAAATTATGCAAATTTGGGGACTATATAAAAAATTTGCTCACTTTTGCTTTATTAAAATAATTTAAAAATAATATTCAGGGTAGGTATTTTTTGTTGACATAATACCAATTATTGTTCCCTAGCTATGTGACTGCCATTTTCACTGATATATCTAAAACCCAAAGAAGGAAGTATTTCAGCAGGAAGAAGCTCTCAGCCAGCTTTGCCTATGCTCAGAAGCTATGTCCTTCTGCCAGTGTGGGTAAGGTAGCCAATCACTTTGGGGTGACCAGTTCCTGGACCCATGCCATGAAGGGTGATAACCAACACCTTGAATTGTACCCAGAAGCAAACTTATACTTAGTAATACTATATATTTTAATTACTTCACTAGTGAAAGGACTAATGAAGGGGTTAATGTTAAAAAAAAATCCCCTTCCTGCTTTCCATTCCCATTAAATTATGCATAATTCAATATTTCTTTTCTAATGAATATCTCTTCTCAAAATATGTCCTCTTTAATGAAGAGGAATTTAATTCACAAGGAATTAGCGTGGATGTCCTAATATATGGTGTATTAACACCACACATACTTGACTAGCTATTGGAGAGTGATTAAGACTCAGTCTCTTTCCCTTGCATTATAATTATAAGCAAGCACAACTCTAACTTCTCCCCTATCAAGGTTGATGGCAATGCCAATGGTTCCCAGTCAGCCAGTCATGTTGGCCAGATAGGTTTGATAATCATCAGAAGCAACTTCAGATGGCCAATAGGACAGACATAAGAAAATGACTATCTGCCTGAATAGCAACTATTGTAAAGCAGCAGGTAAAGTCCATGAGTTATATTGAAATGCTGCTGGAATGCTTAGAAAGAAGCATCAGGACAAAAGCCAGAGACATGTACTTAAGTTTCTATTATGCTGCTTGTGGGATCTGTTGAAGTGAACTTCTTTTTTGCTGTTTATTTAGGCATGCTACAAATTAAGTCACAATTTCCATTATGGGAATTTAAAAAATATTTCAGTTAAATTGCCACTTGTTAAAATGTCCAATATTCTAAGATAAGAGTAAAAGGAGATTTTATTTCACTTACTGTATATTTCTAAATTGGATCAGCCTTTGAAAAATAAACATAATTTCAAACCTAATACACCTCTCTGCATTTCTGCAACTTACTACTATAACTCCAAGAGCAATTCTTTGAGTTATGCATAATGCAATAAACAACATGAAACAATAGTACCAGTGAATTCCAAAATGGCAGAATTTTACAAAATAATGTGTAATAATGTGGTACATCATTTGCTTTATTGCACTTTGTAGATTACCTTTCTGACATTAATGCCAACAGTTTTCTCTCCTTGTGCATGTCCGTTTCTCAGCTCTGTAACAGTCGATATCGGATTAGGGCCTGCCATTTTCAGCCAGGGTGGATGGAATAATTTCCAGAGCCTCTCCGTAAGCAGGAATGCAAAAAGATTCCATGCCACTTAAACCACGTGAATATTCATTCAAGCATAATGCCAACTCTATTTCTGGTGCTCCCCCCTCTAAAATTAGCGCTCTGAAATTAAAATTAAAATACAGCTTGAAATGTAGCTTTGAAAGCAGGAATGTTTGAGTATTACTTCTGAAAACATATGTAAGCATTTCGCAACTTCATATCTGTTTTCAATGGATCTACACATGGGAACTCAATTACTATCAAGCCTCTGCAAAGTATTTGAAAGTACACTACCACTACCAGCTAAAGAAAATATCAGTAAAAGTTGCATCTTCAGGAAAATTTGATATGGCTCTGCAAAGTATTAGAAAGTACATTAACATGAGTGTATAGAGAATATCAAAAAAAGCTGAAGAAAATATCAACATATGCTGCATCTTCAGGAAAATTTGATATGGCTGTATCAAAGGGTTCCTTTGAGTGTCTGAACATGCAGAGTTCCTTATTTTTTTGGTCCAGCAGAAATGCTGTCTATGAATGCACCTGAAGACAACTGGTAGAACTCTGAAGTAGTTCATCAAGCCTTCCTGATAATACAGGTAATCTTCGACTTACAACCACAATTGAGTCCAGTATTTATGTTACTAAGTGAGAAATCACTGTTGTTAAATTAGTAACACGGTTGTTAAGTGAATCTGGCTTCCCCATTGACTTTGCTTATCAGGTCACATAAAGTGATCACATGATCCTGGGACACTGGCAACCATCATAAATATGAAGCAGTTGTCAAGCATCTGAATGTAAATCATGTGACCATGGAGATGCTGCAACGATCATAAGTGTGAAAATGGTCATAAGTCACTTTTTTCAGTGCTGTTGTAACTTTGAACAGTCACTAAATGAACTGTTTTAAGTGGAGGACTACCTGTAGTTGATTTACTGTTTCCAGAATGTTTTGTTTCTGCTAATGCATTCCGCAAAACATCTTTCAAATGCTCTGCAGTCTTCTTATAAGCACAAACTAAACACACACACCTCAAACTCAAACCTTTATGCTGCTCGACCCTCTTCTATCTTCAACAAGACTCTGAAAGAGCCTTAGTTCATTCCAACAAAGGAATTGGAGAGCCAAAGATGTGGTCAGGTGTTTTTTTATGGATCAGGAGCCCCTGCCCGAGCCCGCCAAATGTCAATGGAGCGGTCCACTCATCCTCTCCGCCACCCCCTTCCTTATAGAGACAGTGGGATGTCCCACCCATCACCTTTCCCTGCAGAAATGTTGCTGAAGCGGATTTAAGCGGGTTTATCTTTATCCTGGTAAGAACTGCGATTGCCACCGGAGTTGCGGTTCCCTGTGGCCGCATTCAGAAAGGCCACCTTGGTGCTTGCATTCTCCAGCATGTCTGCGCCCGGATGCCCACTCAGTCCTCCGATGGAGATGGATTGTTTTCCGCCGAGTCCTGCAACCTGCACCCCCAATGCTTCCCCAACGCTGACCCGAAGCTTCCAGAACGCGTGCGGCACCAGTTGGGAGGAGAAAGGGCCTTTCAATGGTCCCACAGGCCATCGCTGAGAATGACGCTCAGGTAGAGGGCTGTCTTTGTAAGTGCCTGATTTTCAATAAACACAGGAAAGCGTGAACGTTTTTTCAAGCAGTGATCTCCGAAAAAGAATCAATTTCGCCTGTGTCCATAAATGTCTTCCAGAGGCTGAAGCCGGACTATTTTAAATAGGACAGTAATACCAAACAGCGAATAAGATAGGCATCAAAAGCCACAGGCTGCAGTGTCATTCTTAATTGCTCAAGTCTGAATGATTAATTCTTTTCTATTGGTGTGGAATACAATTGGAAGCATCAATGTAACTACCGCGAAAAGGAAGAAGAGTCTTGCTAAAAGGAAGGAGAATATTCATAAGAAGTAATGGAAACTAAATTATTGAATTTATATTTATGAATAAAGCAGTCATAAAATTAAATAGGCAAATTCAAATATTGAACATTGCAAGGCACAAAATAAATAGGAGAAATAAAATCCACACCTTTATTCTGCAATTCTATGTTCTTTTTCCTGAAAATAATAGTGATACAAAATAAGTGGGATTTTAAAGTAAATCTGCATAAAAATATACCCTGGTAGAACTAAATCTTATTTAAGAACCAGTTTTTAAGAAATCAGTCTAATTTTTCAGATGTGAAGAATACCTTTAAAGCAACAAATGATGCATAAATATGTCAAATAAATTGTTACTACTGAAAGATTTCTATATGCCACAAATTCTTAACTGTGAAACATCTTTATTTTATCAAATTTATATTTTACTGAGCTGAAAAATGATTTGTTTCAGTATTGTTGGCAATTTAATGTACTAAATACACTTCAATATTACAAAATTATAATAGTGGAAGGGGTATAAATACTTCTGCCATTTTCATTCCAGCTTCATGTGTGCCGGAAGCAATTTTTCAAAAGGCTTTTTTCATCTCCAAGCAATGATAAAGTGAGATAATTCTGTTCAGCAGCATTTTTTAAAAATTTACATTTATTAATCACGGATAAAACAATTGCTCTTTTCCCACACACACCTCAGTTTTATGTGTAATATATATACTGGTACTAGCTGAATACCCACGCTTCACTATGAAACTATGTGATCGGGCTTGATAAATTGACACAGCTTGAAAATTAATGAGTAGTTACAATCGGCCTCTCCTCTCCCCTTCTCTCACTCAGCCTTGCCCCACAGAAGCCTCCCCTATCCTATCCTTTGCTTGCTGCTGTGAAAGTAAAACTGAAACTCTTCTGCTTGTGTTTTGCATTTGGAACATATTTCTTTTCAGGTGGGGAGGGGGAGTAGAACCCTCAGCATCAGAGGGCTGTTTGGAAAGTGAAACATTATTTGTTGTGTGAGCAAGAAGGAGACAGGAAGGAGCATGACTGTGGCTTAGCTCAAGTGTTCTGTATTAAAGCTGCTTCCTGCTGTGAAAGTAAAACTGAAAGTAAAACTCTTCTGCTTGTGTTTTGCATTTGGAACAGATTTCTTTTCAGAAATCTGGAGAGGAGGAATAGAACTCCTTAGCATCAGAGCCTGTTAATCCCTTAGTGAGCACCTAGAAGCCAAGAGGAACATACATGGCAAATTTCAAGTTTGTAGGCTTTACAGTTCTGGAGATTTTGTGATTACAGCATGAGTGGTTTCCGCTTTTATATATATAGATGTACTGGTATATTCTCATCCAAAAATGCAAGACAAATGACTCTATAGTATTTATACATACAAGGCATAAATAGTCTCCTTTGGGATGGGATATGCAGGTATATAAATTTGACCACACAAGCATATAAAACATTTCTAAGTTAGGAAAACATATAATGGGGCCTACTCATTATTTACTTATTTTTAATTCAAGTTTTATTTACAGTTTTCCTTTCACACCATACATATTTTTTGGACAGTGTATTGACTGGGTCAATGTCCTTTTTGAACAATAATAATACAAATAAGTATACATAATCCTAATCTTCCAACTTCACCAATAACATTCTCTCTTTATAATTCTTTATCATTTTTTCATTAATATATTTAAACCTAAATAACATTTCTTTGTACCATTTATTTGTTATCCCCTACTAAGTCACTAATATTTAAAAAGTACTCATTGTTCCATCATAATTTTGATATCCCAAATGTCTAGGACTACTAATAAAGCCAAATATTAACAAAATTTAATCAATCCCGGGATTATATTTTAAAGACCCCACATTTTCTAATCCTTAAAAGTTTGAATTCACAATATATTTTAACACACTGTATTATAATAAATTCTATTATCTATTAGTATATATACTACTATTTTCCCTATTTGTATTTTCTACTTTTTCATTTTATTAATATATTTTATCACTATCTCTCATCTCTTAACCTTTTTGGAGTTCTGTCATTTATTGACTTTTTAATCACCCTTTTATTCCTTCCTCATGGAATCTTATAACCTTTTTCGATATTTTTATACCCACTGACTATTACCTTTGGATTGCCCTTTATCTCTTTCTGCTGTATCATTTAAGCACCCATGCACAAATCTTTCTCTTTTTTTTGAAGAGATTTTTCTTTTTTTCCTCTAAACCTTTCTTTTTTAAAAAAAGAGATTTTCCTTTTTTTCTCTCTGTTCTATTACAAACCTTTAAGGAATTACCTGTTTGATTCCTACTTATCAATCCTTTCTCTTCATTATCTTTGTTTTCTTGCATCTCATTTTGATTTTTCTCTTCCACTGCCTCTTCTAATTTCTCATCTATTTTCTGATTATCACATTCATCTTCATGCATGCTTTTAAGCATCAAAATTACTTCTTCATAGCCCTCTATTATCTCCTGGTGGTCCATTTTGTAACAATTTAATAAAAATTACTCAATATCCCTCTATGGTTCCAACATCTTAGTGTTTAAAAACTCCAACAGAGCCAATTATTAATAAGATTTAGTCAATCCCATAGTTATACCAACAAATCTCCTAAGTTTATAATCTTTAAAGTTCTTTAATATTTAATATTTTACAGCCTTTTGATTTTCCAATTATTTATCTTCCCAATGCTCCAGATTTTAAAGCCTTATTTAACTTTTCTTCTTTTCTCTTTTCTTCTATCACCTTTCTTCTTTTGCCTCGTAGAATGTTCTATCAAATAGCATTAATAATTCAAGTCCAAGTTAATCCACTAGGTTTCCTCCAATCTTTCAAATCCACAATCCAATAACTAGTTTCAATAGGATTTAATTATTTGCAATTTAAATTTGCAATTTAGTTCATCATAAAAATCTTCAAGAAAGAAAAGAAACTCAGAGTATTTCAAAATACCCAAATCATCTTCTAAAATAGAATCAAGGTCAGGCTGCCTTCCAAGTGCTGATTACTTTCTTATATTATATGTATTAGACATAATACACTTTCATTGAAAATTCTTCCACTGTAATGTTCCTCTTCTTCCAGTAGATGGCTCTCCTACTCCCAATTCCAACATTAAACAGTATGTCAAAAACAGCTGATTCTCTGATAAATCCAGAAGTTAAAGATACAAATAAGAAAGACGTTTTCTCCGAAAAATCAAATATTTTAAGCTTTTTTTCCAGCTTTCTATATTTTAAAGCTTCCTTTGGTCATTTTTTTTGTCTCTTAATTTTCAGTCTTTAATCTTCTCCGTGTGTCTAATCACCACTTCCTTAATGCTTGGAGTATTTTTTGAAATTTTTGTACTTAAGTTAAGTCTTTAAAGTAAGAGTTGGAAGTTATCTCACCCAGCTTCAATGCTCTGTCCACGGACTGCTCCAGCACAAATCTTGTGGTCCAGGATGTCCTAGCTTGTGACTAGCCAAAAATGGCCGTCATCCCTGCTGCTCAGGAGAGCTTGCTTCGGACCTAACAAGGAAATTGTAAGTTCCTCGTGGTCCACAAAGTGCCTCTCCTTTCTTCGCCACCCCTACAAGGCGACTTGAACCCCTAAGGTCTCCCAACAGCAGTTGCCAACTGGATTTTGCACGGCTTGTCATAGCCCGCTATTTTCCAAGCAGTTCTGACCGCGACATCAACTGGAAGCCCGGGCCTGCTCATTATTGTTGTGAGTCAAAACTTTCATAAAATGAACTGGATTTAGTTTTACAACATTCATATGCGTTTATTAAGCAAATCAACTGAGTCATTACAAGTGAACCAAGATCTGGCTTGCTATTTGCTACAGTTCATTAAATGACCTCTGCGATCATTAAGTGAACCAAGAGGCTCAAAAATTTGCAGGACTCCCAGGTATTTCTGCACCTGTTCTCATTGTAAGAAAAAGCCCAACAGGACTTTATCCCTTCTAAAGTGACACACTTTAACTTGTCAGGAGGCCTCAGCTACAAACAGCTTCTGAGAAAGAGGCTGACATGCAGGCATGCCTTGTAGAACTGATTGGTTGGCTATTAGTTAGTTTAGTTAGTTTATTATATTTATATATCGCCCTTCTCCTGAGGGACTCAGGGCAGTGAACAGCCATGGTAAAAACAATATACAACAAAAATTAAAAGCTTATTAAAATAATTCAATCATTCGGCCAAATTTAAAATATCCAACTAAAATCATTTTAAAACCCCTATCAAAACCCAATTTAAAAAACATTTATCCTGTCAGACCAGCTTGCTGGAATAATAGGATCCTCAGAGCGCGACAGAAGGCACGGAGGTCGGGGATCCTTTGTATGTCTGGGGGCAGTTCATTCCATAGGGCCGGGGCCCCCACAGAGAAGGCTCTCCCCCTGAGGGTCACCAGCCTACACTGTTTGGCTGACGGCACTCTGAGGAGGACCACTCTGTGGGAGCGTATTGGTCGGTGGGAGGCAATTGGTGGTAGAATGCGGTTCTGTAGGTAACCAGGTCCTAAGCCATGGAGCGCTTTAAACGTGGTAACCAACACCTTGAAGCACACCCGGAAGACCACCGGGAGCCAGTGCAGCTCGCGCAAGATGGGTGTTACATGGGAGCGATGAGTTGCCCCCATTATTACTCGC